TTTGTACTAGAGGCCCAATGCACAAAATTCATGCAAGGGGCTCAGCCCTCCCAGCCCCAGTTTCATCCAGAAGGTCATCTGGAAGGACAGCCAGAAGGTTGCTCAGCTGTCTGGTATAATCAGTATATTATGCTTTTGTTATTATAGATAAATATCTATATATTTCCAATCACTACCTCTATTACATCTGTTACAAATACACAAAAACACTATCATAGCTAATATAGCCACTTTACCCTTATCATTTCATTTAATTCCCACAGTACCCTGCAGGAATGAGCAGTATTATCTCAAGAAGAAACTGAGACTCAGAGAAGTTAATGTGCCTGAGGTACACAATAGAATGCAAACTGCAAAGCAGAAACCAGATTTATATTATTCCGGAGCCTGAGCACCTTCACTACATGGGCTCATGGGGCTGATGATGGCATGACATGAAGCAAAAATCATTAGCAAATAAAGAATCAGGGTTGCCCTAGCAGGTTTGACTCAGTGGATAGAGCAGCAGCCTGTAGACTAAGGGTCCCAGGTTCAATTCTGGTCAAGGGCAAATGCCCAGTTTTGGAGCTGGATCCTCAGTAGGCAGTGTGCAAGAGGCAGTGGATCAATGATTCTCTCTAATCATTGATGTTTCTGTCTCTCTCTCCCTCTTCCTTCCTCTCTAAAATCAATAAAAATACATTTAAAAAAAAAGAATAAGTGTTAAATAAAAATGTTGACTGTTTCAATACTATTGCATATTCTTTCCACTACTCACTTTTTCACAGAGGTTTCCCTGAGAGTTGTTAGCTGATCAAATTCATGGTTTGTTACATAATTTTTACTAACATTGTAAAATTAGTGCACATACATTATAAAATATTTGGAAAATATAGAAAAACAGAATACAAATACCAATCATTTCTACTACCCAAAAATCATTTTATAGTATTCCTTTATGGGCCTTTCTCTATCTTTGGTATAAATAATTTGGCACCAAATAATTAAAACAATGGTCCCTAATATTTTGAAGATCAATGACACTTTTAATAATCACATAAAGCTACACCCCAGAATCTTCCCCAAAAATCATGTACAGAATCTTGCATGCAATGTAAGGAATTTCATAGACCATATTTTCAAGACATTTTATTATGCTAGTTTAAAAATATTATCACAAACTTCTTTATGAATACAGCTTTTTATTTATATATACTTTTTTTTATTGATTTCATAGAGGAAAGGAGAAGGGAAGAGAGATAGAAACATCAATGATGAGAGAGAATCATTGATCAGCTGCCTCCCGCACACCACACACTGGGGGTCTGGCCTGCAACCTGGGCCCTGACCTGGAATCAGACTGTGACCTCCTGGTTGATATTCAACCACTGAGCCATGCCACCTGGATGAATACAGTTGTTATTGTTTTTTTTTTAATTTAGGATTATCTCATTAACATAGAATCCCCTAAAATGGAATTATACATCAAAAGACTACAAACAGTTTTGAAGTTCTTGATAAATATTACCAAAGTCCTTTAATAACTTATGTTACCAATAATATAGGAATGTACCCTTCTCACTCTTAAGTTTTACTTACCAGTATGATCACTCTCAGTTTATGAATAAAAAATACTATCATGAAATATTTACTTTCTTTTGATTACTGGTAAATTTTAATGTTTTTTAACATATATATCCCATTTTGGTCCTCTTTTATGAATAGTTTGTTTATATACTTGGCATTTATTTAGTGGGGATTTCAAATTAATAAATTTATTTAAAATTCCAGAGAAATCTAAGAATGTATCCCTTTTCCCTCTTATTATTGGCTATAAAAAGGATAAAATTAGCTTGGCCACTCTTCCTCTCTAAAAATCAATTAAAAACATATTATTTTAAAAAGAAGTTTATATTGCCGAAACTGGTTTGGCTCAGTGGATAGAGTGTCGGCCTGGGAACTGAAGGGTCCCAGGTTCAATTCCGGTCAAGGGCATGTACCTTGGTTGCGGGAGCATCCCCAGTGGGGGGTGTGCAAGAGGCAGCTGATCAATGATTCTCTCTCATCGATGTTTCTAACTCTCTATCCTTCTCTCTTCCACTCTGTAAAAAGTCAATAAAATATATTTTTTTTTAAAAAGAAGTTTATATTCAGTCCTTTAAGAGAAAAATGGTCCTCATTTTTCCTATGAAACATTTAACTATATGAAAACTCAAAGACATAGCTAAAAGTTCTTAATTTCATTATTGATAATACAATCTACATGCTAAAAAAAAACACTTCTGAATATGAAAGTCAAAATGTATTAAAATACAATTTTGATAAGCCAATAATACAGAATGAATTCACTGAAATGGTTAAAAAAATATGTAAAATATTTGACATTGCCTGTCGAGAAGTAATATGCTATTAAAATTTGATCTTGCTGTTGCTGGAAGAATTCAAACAAATACTTATTTGTTAGTAATAAAGTATAAAGTGTTCTTTTACTGAGCAGGTGAAGATTACCACAGCCTTGCAACACAAGATTCAATTGATAGTAGTAATGGTAATGAAATAATAGCAGTCATTTGTTCCAATAACACGCTTTCCCCACAAGATAGTAAATGGGTTTAAATGCTAGAAAGTGGAACAGGTATAGCAAAATGTAAGAGTAACTACAGGATAGATGACAGAAAATTAAACAGGATTATAGATATTTCTGATCCTTGGACAAAGGCTACATTCTTAACCCTTTTTTCCCCTCTTTATTCCTGTGGTTTCTTACCACCAGTTACAGTAGTTCACACCATCCTCTGGAAAAAGTCACACACAAACTTTTTAATAGTCTAGATTTCAGTAGAATATTTCAGTTAATACATGTTAAAGTATGCAATTTAGCAGTTTCTCATTGTTCTCAGATAATGTCAAATAATCTATAAGCAATTTATAATTGTTTCTTAAACAATATTTTTCTACTTAGTATAGCCAGTTTACACTCCAGCAGTTTGCTTGTTTCACTACATTTTCACCAATATAATTTAAAAATTTTTATATACAACCAATAAATATCCCATTTTAAAGGCATAATTTATCTGACTATTAATGAATATCTTCCTAATTACAAAAGCAATAAAGAAAAATAGTAAAAAAATATCCTTAATTTGGCAATAAGATGGCTACCACTAGGTAACATTTTGCCACATTTCCATACAGTTCCTTTTCTATGCATATTTTTAACCTTGGATCATATTACATATACAGTTTACTATTCTCATTTTTGTCACTTCCTAGATTTTATTTTTCCATCTTCCTAAATATTCTTTTAAAAGTGCCATTTAAATATATAATATTTATATTTCCAACTTTCTATCTTAAAATATTTAGGTTTTTTTCACTACTACAAGATTACAATTAACATTTTTATCCACATTTCATAGGCAAATCCCTACAAGATAAAGCACTAGGTAAAAGAATATGAACATCTTCCCTTTTTCTGACATATCTTGCCAAAGTGCTATTCAAAAAAGCCCCCTAAACAATGGTGTAGGAGACTAGACTAGTTTTTTGCATTAGTGATTATTATTTTTTAAAATCTTGGCTAATTTGATAAGCAAATAATAGTATCTTGTATTTGATTATAAGTAAAATTTAGAATTTTATATTTTCTTTTCTGAGGATTTTTTCTTGTCCATTCTGATTTTGGTGTTTTTCACCAATTTGTCTATATTAAGATTATAAACTTGTGATATATGCTGCAAATATCTTTTGCCAGTTATTCTGCTTTTTATTTAAATTTTGCTTGATGACTGAATTCCAGAAATTTAACTTCTAAACAGACATTGATTTTATGCTTAGAACATCCTTCTACTCCCAGTCAGTAAACATTCACCTACATTTTCTTCCAGTTTAATGGTTTCACTGTTTACATTTAATTATTAAATTCATGTGGAGACTAATTTTTATCTTAAGCCTAACCTGCAGAATGTTCCAAACTAAAATACTAATCCATACTGACAAAATTATAGAAATATCATTAATTTTTTAAAACTTTCCTGAAAACAATATTATTCTTGCAAGTGTCTACTTACTTTAAAGCAATATTTTACAGAGCAAAAGAGATCTATTTCCCTAAGACAAATAAATTTGGGGGAAGGAAAATATGGCAATGGGGTAGGAGATTTATTTTGATTAAAAAATCCAAATTAATAAACATTTAAGAGTACTAACTACTATAGTTGGTCTTGATGATCGTTTTGGTCGATGATTAAGAAGTATATCAACAGCTCCCACTACTTCAGAGTCGATTGCCACCAAAAGTGCATCTGTGGACTTTAAAAAAAAAAAAGTTAAAAATAAAAATGGAGGAAAAAAAGATAAAGTATTTATTTTACTGATCCTATGTAATAAAAGGTTAATATGCAAATTGACTGAATAGTGGAATGACCAGTTGCTATGACATGCACTGACCACTAGGGGCAAACACTCAATGCAGGAGCTGCTCACTAGTGGTCAGTGTGCTCCCACAGGAAGAGTGCAGCTCAGCCAGAAACCGGGCTCATGGATGGTGAGTGCAGTGGAGTGTCAGGAGACTCCCACTTCCATGGTAGCCCAACTGCCAGCTTAGGCCCACACAATCACCTCCATGTGATTTCAGGTGACAGCTGGAGCATCCCTCAAGGGCTACCAGATTGTGAGAGGGTGCAGGCCAGGCTGAGGAACATCCCCAACCCACAAGTGCACAAATTTTGTGCACCAGGCCTTTAGTTTATAAATAAAACCATTTTTTAAAATTAATCTGTATTGTATACAGTAATACTGAATTTCAAAAATTTAGTCTGTCCAAATAATACATTTTGCCTTACTTTGAATCTTAACATTGCAAATCTATAAAAGAAATTGCCAAGAACTAGAACTACGGGTAAATTGTGTTCAATCTAATAAAAATGATTATCAATGCAATCATGAAAAGAGCAGACAATGGAAAATACGTAGAGGGAGAGCTCATCTCGAAAACATACATAGATGATTGAAATGGTACAGGTCAGAAATTAGTATCAGTAATCTAATCAAGTAAAACCACAAAGAACTAGGCTACAATGTCCTTTGAGACAGTAGGGAAAAGTGACTTTGTGGTTTTACCCCCAAACTATAGCTAATTTTGAAGCTTCAACTTCGACAGCAAGAAAAAATAACCAAAGGCTGAGCAAATGGGGACTTTTAACTCTGTAACAAAGTCTGCATTTTGATTTTATTATAATACTTGGAAATTGTGACATCAAGTTTTGGGGTTTCTTTTCTTTTTTAAAAAATGTTTTATGTTTCTTTATTAATTTCAGAGAGCAGAAGGAACAGGGAGAGAGATACAAACAACAATGATGAGAGAGAACCATTGCATACCCCACACCAGGGATCAATCCTGCAACCTGGGTATGTGCCCTGATCTGGAATTGAACCGTGATCTCAGAGTTCATAGGTCCATACTGAACCACAGAGCCACAGTCTGGGCTTGATAATTTTTAAAGAAAAATCATAAAGGCAAGAAGGAAAGATAAGAGATAAATAATGACTTAATCTAACAAAGTGCCCTGATTATTTTCACTCTGTATATTTTTAAACTGTTATAATCTTTATCAACTATTGATCAACATTCTTTAAAAAAATAAAACTAGCCCTAGCTGGTTTGGCTCAGTGGATAGAGAATCGGCCTGTGAATTAAAGGGTCCCAGTTTCAATTCCGGTCAAGGGCACATACCCAGGTTGCGGGCTGAATCCCCATTGGGGGACATGCGGGAGGCAGCCAATCAATAATTCTCTCTCATTGATGTTTCTATCTCTCCCTTCCTCTTCCATTCTGAAGTCAATAAAAAATATATATATTTTTAAAATAGGTCTAAAAATGACAGACATTAAGTGGATGTCTAAAAAATAGGAGCAAGCATCATCAAAAAATAGTTGGGGGCAATATTCAACCTATGTATTCTCATAGGGAAACTCCTCACCCTCATAAGAAAATTAATTTGTTATTTTATTCCCTAAAACTTTTAAGGTTCATTGGGCTATAACCTATTCTTTAAAGTCTAGCATTATTATTATTATTCTAGCAACCATTTCTCTTGGGTTTTTAGTTTTTACTGTATTTGGTCAGGTGAGGAAAAATAAAAAAGACAAAGAAGAAGAGGAAGAAGAAGATAAAGAAGAAGAAGAAGAAGAAGAAGAAGAAGAAGAAGAAGAAGAAGAACAACAACAACAACAACAACAACAACAAACAACAACAACAACAACAACAAAAACTGTGTTCTTTTCTCTTAACATTTCATTTCTGATTTTAAATGTTAACCTATATAACTAACAAAGTAATGCCACTGCTAAGTCAAAATACCAAGTAACTCCAGTAATCTGAGCTATAACCATGGCTCCAGCTGCACATCTCCCAAAAAAACTATACTGAGTGATTATAAACTAACTTCATGGTCATTATATCCCTGAAGGAATTGCCCCAACTACACTACAAATGCAAATATCTGGTTTTCCCAAGTACCCTTCAAGTCTACTAAATAAGAGAACAACTAGATTAAAATCAACAATGTAGGGAGAAAGAAAAAAATAACTGCTATTGTTGACCATTGAAAAGAAAATATCTTTATAGCAAAATCATTACACACATACACATACACACACACACACACACACACACACACACACACAGAGAGAGAGAGAGAGAGAAGTGAGAAGCCATTTAATGTAAGGACAAATGTGTTTAGTTTCAGGCTATCTGAAGAAACTAAAATGACTACATTATCAGTGATTCCCACTTATGATGATAGAGTTAAATTATATTCAGGTACAGTATTTGGTAAAGGATAAACTTCAAGTATAAAAATATTTACTTATATAGCCACTTCATAATACTAAAGGGAGCAACCCAACAAGAAGAAATAACCCTGGTAAATATATATGCACCCAACACAGGAGCACCCCAATATATAAAAAAACTGCTGGAGGACATTAAGGGAGAGATTAATAGCAATACAATTATAGTAGGAGATTTTAATACCCCACTATCACCCTTTGACAAATCATCTAAACAAAAAATCAGCAAAGAAATATCAATTCTAAATGACTCGCTAGACCAGATGGAATTAATCGACATCTTCAGAACATTCCACCCCAAAGCCACAGAATATACATTCTTCTCAAGCGCACATGGGACATTCTCAAAGATAGACCACATTTTGGGACATAGGCAGTCTCTTCAAATTCAAGAAGATAGAAATCATATCAAGCATCTTCTCAGATCATAGTGGCATAAAACTGGAAATTAACTACACTGAAAAAAATCCAAAGAAATCAAACACATGGAGACTAAACAGCATGCTATTAAACAAGGACTGGGTTACCAAAGAAATCAAGGAAGAAATTAAAAACATCCTGTAAACAAATGACAATGAAAACACAACTATCCAAAATCTATGGGACACAGCAAAAGCAGTTTTGAGAGGGAAGTTCATATCCCTACAAGCCTATTGCAAAAAAACTAGAAAAATGGTAACAAATGATCTAACTACAACTCAAAGAGTTAGAAAAAGAGCAACAAGAAAAGCCCAGTGTAAGCAGAAGGAAGGAAATAACAAAAATCAGAGCACAGATAAATGACATAGAGACCAAAGAAACAATACATAAGATCAACAAAACCAAGAGCTGGTTCTTTGAAAGGATAAACAAGATAGATGGACCTCTAGCCAGGCTAACCAAGAAACAAAGAGAGAGGACCCAAATAAACAAAATCAAAAATGAAAGAGGTGAAATAACAACAGATCTCGCTGAAATACAAAGGATTGTTACAAAATACTGCGGACAACTCTATTCCAACAAACAGAACAACCTGGAGGAAATGGACATATTCCTAGAAAAATACAAACTTCCAAAACTCAATCAGGAAGAATCTAAAAATCTCAATAGAGCAGTGACTTGGGAAGAAACTGAAACAGTCATCAAAAAGCTTCCAGCAAACAAAAGCCCAGGGCCAGATGGCTTCACAGGAGAGTTTTACCAAACAGTCAAGGAAGAAATAAAACCTATCCTCCTCAGACTATTCCAAAAAATTCAAGAGGAAGGAACACTTCCAAACTCCCTCTATGAAGCCAGCATCACTCTAATACCAAAACCTGATAAAGACAACTCAATGAAAGAGGCCAATATCCCTCATGAACATAGATGCCAAAATCCTCAACAAAATTCTAGCAAATCGGCTCCAGCAGAGCATCACAAAGATCATACACCATGACCAAGTAGGATTTATTCCAGGAATGCAAGGTTGGTACAATATCCACAAATCAATAAACGTGATACATCACATAAACAAATTGAAAGATAAAAATCATATAGTCATATCGATTGATGCAGAAAAAGCATTTGATAAAATCCAACACCCTTTCCTGATAAAAACTCTCAACAAGGTGGGAGTACAAGGATCATACCTCAACATAATAAAAGCTATATATGATAAACCCACAGCCAACATCATACTCAATGGGCAAAAACAAACCATTCCCTCTAAGAACAGGAACAAGACAGGGATGCCCACTCTCGCCACTCCTGTTTGACATAGTACTGGAAGTACTAGCCATTGCAATCAGACAAGAGGAGGAAATAAAAGGCATCCAAATTGGAAAAGAAGTAAAGTTATCCTTATTTGCAGACGACATGATATTGTATATAAAAATCCCAAAAGACTCCATTAAAAAACTAATTGACTTAATAAATGAATTTGGCAATGTAGCAGGATACAAAATTAATCCCAAGAAATCTATGGCATTTCTATACACCAACAGCGAATTTATAGAAACAGAGACTAAAAAAGCAATTCCATTTACCATCGCACCAAAAAAATTAAGATACCTAGGAATAAACTTAACTAAGGAAGTAAAGGACCTATACGCAGAAAACTACACGACACTGAAAAAAGAGATAGAGGAAGATGTAAACAGATGGAAGAACATACCATGTTCATGGATTGGTAGAATCAACATCATCAAAATGTCCATTCTTCCTAAAGCAATCTATAGGTTTAATGCACTCCTTATTAAAATACCAACGGCATATTTCACTGACCTAGAAAGAACTCTCCAAAAGTTCATTTGGAACAATAAAAGACCCCAAATAGCCACAGCAATCCTGAGAAAGAAGAGTAAAGTAGGAGGGATCTCAATACCAGACTTCAAACTGTATTACAAAGCCACTGTTCTCAAAATAGCCTGGTACTGGCACAAAAACAGACATATAGATCAATGGAATCGAATCGAGAACCCAGATATCAATCCAAATCACTATGCTCAATTAATATTTGACAAAGGAGGCACGAATATACAATGGAGTCAAGACAGTTTCTTCAATAAATGGTGTTGGGCAAATTGGACAGACACATGCAAAAGAATGAAACTAGATCACCAACTTACACCATGCACAAAAATAAACTCAAAATGGATACAGGACTTAAACATCAGACGGGAAACCATAAAAATACTAGAAGCATCCACAGGCAACAAAATCTCAGACGTATGCCAAAAGAACTTCTTCACTGATACTGCCCCTAGGGCAATGGAAGCTAAAGAGAAAATAAACAAATGGGACTACATCAAAATAAAAAGCTTTTTTACAGCAAAAGAAACCATCAGCAAAACAACAAGAAAGCCCACTGTGTGGGAGAACATATTTGCAAATGTTACCACTGATAAAGGTTTAATCTCCAACATCTACAAACAGCTTATACAACTAAATAAAGGGAAGATGAATGATCCAATTAAAAAATGGGCAATGGATCTAAATAGAACATTTTCAAAAGAAGACAGAAGGAATGCCAAAAGGCACATGAAAACATGCTCAAAGTCACTAATTATCCGAGAGATGCAAATCAAAACAACAGTGCGGTACCATCTCACACCTGTCAGAATAGCCAACATCAACAAATCAACAAACGACAAGTGTTGGTGAAGTTGTGGAGAAAAAGGAACCCTCGTGCACTGCTGGTGGGAATGCAGACTGGTGCAACCAT